CGCGGCTTGGGTAAGTTTCCTGTCAGGTAAACTTCCTGTGCTGTTCGCACTGGACTAATTATGGTAAAACTAGCCAACGTGTTGGTTAGTTTTACCAAAAAAAGTCCAGTGCGATTGTGGCTTAAGTGCCACACTACCCAGTGCTAACAATGTAAACAAAACTTAAAAAGGATACAATGGTTAAGATTCCACCGAAAAGAAACATAACAAAGAAATCTGCAGTGCGCCCTCTAAACGACCCCTCTTCTAATAATCGGCAATACCGGTAGGTAAACAAAACATTGAAAAAGAAATGAAATCCGAAGTTTCCAAAATATAGAAAGGTTGTCGCTAACCTCCATATCTACATAGTGTATAAACAAAAAAAAAACTTTTTAATGTTGTGACAAGGAAACAAACAAGCTACTATTCAATTACTATGCTACATAATTATTCAAAAGTTTTATTTAATTACTATAATAATGTTATTTATTATCATTATTCCTATTTGATATGACAATATCTATATTTAAATACTGTAAATACATAAGTACATGAATACAATTTATTAAATTAATTATATAATATATACTACACATATCAAGTATATTACTTAGAGATTATTTACTGTACTCATTCAAATGCATGAATAATAGAATACTGGTAAGACTAATTAAGGAATTCAACATACAAACTCTGATCATAAAACAATAAATGAATGAATACATTTTATAAAGTAGCTAATATTTAACTATAGTTTATGTGAGAAGTTAAAGATGTTTAATATTATACGACATGATTCTCCCTGACGCAGACCTATCACGTCTAGGTTTAACTCACAGACCCAAAATGACAACATATAGCATTGGGCTGTGTCGAATGATGCTGTCTGAGTTGGCTTTAAAAAACACATTATCATACCTGGAATTGTTTGAATATCAAATCTGGATTGAAATATAGCTGGAAAGGAGAAACTATTTCCAATTGCTGCAAGTAAAAAAAAAATACTTTTCACATTATGAAAAATAAATAATATAAATTTAGCACTAAATGCAGAAATTGAATGGACTATCATCTTGCGCACTACAAGATATGGTGATGCTTTATTAAAGGCATATGTACAACTTCATTCTTAAAACAATGAACATCATCAGCATGGACTGCCCTTAAATTTTGTATTACTTTTAATTATATAAAAGTGAAGAACTTTCAAGACCAACTTTCAGGGGCAGATCGAGATAATTATCTGGGTACGGGCCATGCAACGTGCAAAACTCCGAGTCTGAGGATGTTGAGATTTTTGTTTGGGAATGCTTGACCATAGACACTTCATTAATTCAAAATTAGCTGGTCTTGGAGTACCGTGCTCCCTTCTTTCTCCTTTCTTTTCTTCCTTCTTTTTTCTCACATTTTTTTTTATTTGGGTGGGGAGAGGGGGAAGGGGCTATCCTTATTGCTTCCCATTGGATCTTCCCCTGACTTTTGAATCTATTTATTATAGGATTTTTATTGGCAATTGATGTCAGTTTTATCAGTTGTAAAAAGAAGATATTAAAAGTGTTTTGGGAACAATAGGACATTATGCTTGTGTTTATAAGAAGTACATGGTGAGGAAAAAAGTGAGACTGGGGTTGTGTATAAAAGTTGACCAATCAGTGGTTTTTATAGCTTTCATTTTTTAAAATGAGTTAAAACTTACAACAGCTAGTGTTGTTATAATACATCCGCATGTATACAACTTAGTAACAGGTGGAATTTGTAAAAACTCATCTTGCAGGGGTCTGTATGCCATTATGCTCTACGTAGTAACAAAGTGATAACCAACTGCAAACCACTACAATCCTATCTTCAAGAAACTCTGAAAAAAAAAAACAACAGAAAATTAATAATGAAACCTCATATTACAAATATCTGGTAGCAGAAGGCATAGGGGAAAAAAAACTACAAAACAAAATAGTAAATGCCCAGCTTGTAGAGCATATTGTGTGTATGTTTGTCTTTTGAAAGGGATTGGAAATGCATTAACAGACTACAGGCATTTACAGAATAACTCTCTTGTTTTCAATAAGTTAATCTGAATGTTAGAATTGGAGATTATAAATTAGAACATCAGTTTAAACATTGTAAACAAATATATCTCACCTTAACAACAGAAAAGTATCACATGAATGAAGAAAATTCTTGAAATAGATGATTATGAATTCCACAGAGGCCTTGTTCACAAGATGTGCTATATAAAAGCTGGCATATTATAATCACATCCACTTTTGTTTACCATCGATCTAGGCAATAAAATCCAAATGATATTGGTGTATTGTTAAGGTTGTCTGTTAAAAAAAGCATAATTAGAACAGCATTATAATGTACTGTATTTGTGTCTACATAAGTTGCTTTCAAGATAATTAGGAAGGAATTAAAAGTCGGAAATAAGACACCCACTAACCAATTCAGAAAAAGATATGCGATGAATTACCATTATATTCTCACGTATAAGACGAGGCTTAAAATATCAAATTACGATTGAAAAAACAGGGGGTCGTCTTATATGCGCAACGCATACAAATTTTTGATTTTTAAATCATTTTTGCCGTATGTGTGGTCGTCTGTAACACATGAATTTACTACTGAAACAAAGCTACTAACTGTTAATAGGAATAAATGCAAATTATGCAGGAAATAACATTTCAAAGCCTGTAAAATGGTATTATTTGGAAGATTAGCAGTACATTTGGCTCTGTTTTTAGCCAGCTAGATGCAGTATCAAGACCGTAAAAAGCAGCAGAAAAGTAGGAATACCCATGATGAAATAGGGCGGTCATTTTACAGTATACATCCCACATACAAAAATCGTCCAAGAGTCTTTTCAAACTTGGGCCTGGGGTGGGGGTGGGGTCGTCTTATACGTGGATTGCCATATATACTAGTATATACGCCAAAATAAAGAAGTATCCTAAGAATACAGTAGATGTTACAAGCTTTCATTTTCTCATTCGAGAACCAATCTGCTGAGAAAAAAAAAATTTCTTTCTGTATGACGTCACCAGTTTATCCCTAGTTTTAGATAAGTAACAAAGCAGTTTGTTTCCCTGGTCATTGGGTATTAATATTATATTTTTTTTTTCATATCTTATTATGTAATTGTAGATCTGCATTCAGACGAAAATGAAAGGGCATAACATATCAAATTTACACACAAAAAAAAAGTGATAAAAGAAATGGCTACTCATACAGTATTAATAATACTGTACCCTGGAGCTTTCGATTTGTGTGACAATGTAACCCCAGAATAGATACACTCATCCGTGACCTTTCTGCATTCTCTGCACAATGCAGATTTCGGGCCAAACTGCATCCCAGAATTCAGGCAACAAGAATTGTACGTTCTCGCAGCACACCTTTAAATCAAGGCGCCACTCGAGTTTGTTTGTTTCCTGTAGTTTCTCCACTCCGTAAAATATTACTCGGCTTGCAGGACTCCGGACGTTCCATCAATTTTGAATGCAAACTACACGAAGAGCTCATTCTGGCCTGGGCCCCTAGGGCCGCGGCCTATAGGCCTAGGGGTAGGGGCCTTAGTTCTTTGCCCGAATACGTTTTGCAGAGAACTCTGGACGGTCACGAATGAGTGAATCCATTCTTCTAGGCTAGCCTAAGCCTTCGCACAAATCCAAGTTCCCTATCTTTGTTTTGGTAGTGAAGCTGCCCAACATACTTTCTATTTTTTATTTTCAATTGTCCTCTTAATCTCAAAGATGAAGATAACCTAGTGATTTCCAGATGTTAAAAAAATACAGAAATCCTAATGCAGAGTGTCTTTAGTGTCTTCGTCATGGTTTGGTGAGCACGACCCTATAGAATTTTGTTGATTATTATTTTATAAGTAATCATTTATTTATTTACCTCAAATTTGTCATATAAATAAATTAATATTAAAAGCTTGTTAGAATTTTAAATGTATATATTTGAGTATTTACAATTTATTAAGCTAGGCTAAGGCTTAGGCTATACATTTGATGGTAATAATATTTTGTTCGTGTGTCGTGTGTATGTATGTCACCGAGGGTCAAACATCGCTCTCAAAACCAACACCTGACAACAAATAATTTGTGATCAACTGGGGAGCAGGCTGTATTTTACGACGAGGAGTTATTTCCTTTTTTTTAATATATTTTTGCGTCTGATATGGCTTCAAGTCAAGCAGCAAATGCAAGCACCAAATCTGGTGCCATAGATGAATATGAATTTGTATTAAGTGACGAGGAAGAAGAGGATGATGAAGATAGCAGAATGTTCACCCCTCGTGATTCCGATGAGGGTAGGTACCGCTCTGAATACAAGCACGCACGCAGATCATGAAAAAGCGCCTCCCTACTAGGAGGCCTAGGCTAGGCCTAGGTAAACATAAAATAATATAATGGTAATGGCAGTGTATTTATAGAGGACATATTATGTTGTTTCTTTGAATTTGATCATAATTTTCAGAAAGTATAATTTCTTTTAAAATATGCTTTTTTTAGCTTGTTTTTATGTATCATCATGAATGTCTCAATGTACTGACATGTGTCAGGCCTATAATAATATATGACGACTGCGTGTACCCCTTGCCGGGCCTTGTTTAGGCGTAGAAGGAATAGCATTTTTAGCATAAGTACTGATGTGAGGGCGCATTTTAGAAAATCCTAACCTTATCTTGGCTGGAAAAGTGATGAGGGAGGGGTGGGGAGGCTTTTTTTTTAAATTTTTTATTTTGCTAAAGCCAGACAATTGGGCTTAGTGTAGTATATAGAGTACTACAGTGTTACGTCACGATACCATGTGATACTACTCCATTGCTATCGTTGCAAAATGCGTTCAACCCGACGCCATTTTCGTCAATTAACAAACCAGTGATCCCAATTTCTAACATAATTATTAAGATGTTGTATCTTACTTTTTCTTTGTAAATTTTAATTGATTAAATGTGTGTTCAATAACTAATAATGCGAGCTTTTGTGTTTTTAGTACATTTTGATGGTAAAATATTAGATTTTAAGATGCCTATTCCAGAAAGCCTATGCAGTCATTCAGGCGTAATGAGCGGTAACCTACATCTGTTGACAACAGAGAGCGCCACCTGGCGTCGTGACGACACGACTGTGGTACTCTATAGAGTAGACCTACAGTACCCTCTTGCCAGCCAAGGGCAGACTAAACAAACTTAAATCCACCCAATCACCGTGACCTAGGCTAGTGATGATGAGAGATTCATTCCACTGTAGGGCAGACGATTGGTGGTGCAGTTTTTTTAAGTGCAGCACACGGTGTTCGTCTTTCATCGATCCTGATGCTAGACTGAGACTGCTGTGACCGAGACAGACTGTACATCCTTATTTTACATCATCATTGATATACCATACACAATGTAATTATAGTCCTTACATAATTTTTGTAAGATTTTGTAATTTTCCCCTATGGGTACTGTACTGTATATATTCCAACAGTACTATTTGAATGTCCTATGTTTTGAATACAAGTCAATAATTTTGGGACACTCTTTTATCCAGTGGTATTGCTACGGGGAGAAAAATCACAATTCGTGTATTTTCATAATTGTTTTTAACAAACTTATTCTACAGTATACCAGTAACTTAATCTAAATACATAGTCTTTTGTTAATAACCAAAATTAGCTCATTAAAATATCATTGATTTTATTTGTATTAATGTATAAATATTTTTTGCAAATTATATCATATCTTGATTCATGAATAATAGATATGATAAATCTTTTTCAAATGAGTTGATTGCAGGAAAGGAAGGCACTGCACACTTACTCTATGGACAACCCTTAAATTAACAATTAGGCACCTCACCTAACATCTTAGACTTTTCTCTAGTTATAGGGCTAGCTCCTGTGACAGGCATAGCTAAGATTGAAAAGGAGCAGAGTAAAGTCTGAGAAATGCATTCGCTATTCTATCAGAGAAAAAAAAGCCAGTGTAGATGTTACATATTATCATTGGGCTATTTCATTATTTTTTAGATACCGAAGATGCGAGTGAGACAGATGCAGCAAAACTTGAAGAAGAGTTCACAGAAATGAAAGAGCAGTAAGTATAGTGACATATCTGAACATAATTCTGAGTAAATGTGGAAATTTGAGAAAGGATACGTAAACGAAAGAAAAGAAATGATAAGGAAAATAAGGTACTGTACATAAGTAAATGTAAACAGGAAACAAAACAAATAAGAAAACTGAAATAAAATGAATGGAAAAGGAAATGGAATTAGGAGGTAATCGGAATTAAAATTAGGTTGATTTTAATAACTGAATAAGAAATTAATACAAAATGATTCATAAAATATGATGCATAAAACTTACACTTATTATAAATCTGCATTATTTTTTTTTATCTTGTTTTTGTTTATTTATTTATTTTTATTTATTTTATTCTGGCTTATTCCTTTAAATGTGAAGTGCATAGAGGCTTTATGCATTATTCTTTATATTAAATATTATTATTAAAGCCCCATTCCAGTTATGCTGTCAAGCGTCCGAGGTAGGCAGGGTAATTTTTTCGCAAACCCGCCAAATTCATTTTTTATCTCGCCCATCAATGACATAAACTTTTTAATTCATCCCACAATTAATTAAATAAAAGCATTAATTATTCTGATTTACTGAAATGTTGAGGTCGCTGATACGATTGTGAGTAATAGATAAAGTGCGCCCTTTCTCTAATGAGATTAGTTTTTGTACCTCACATCTCGCACACTGATCGATCAAGTCAGCCTGAGATAAGTTGTTTGTCAAAATCTCAGTCAGAATCATTTTTTAACAAGTTTGAAATAATTCCAATAAAATATTGTATTACACAAGTATTAGACAAAAGCATTATTAATTAATCTGACTTACTGAAATGTTTGCTGATACGATTGTGAGCAATAGATGAAGTGCGCCCACTCTAATGAGATTAGTTTTGGTACCTCGCATCTCCCACAGTGTGATCGATCGAGTCGGCCTGAGATAAGTTTGTTTAATTGTCAAAATCTCGGAATAATTTTTTAGATTTTGACAATAAAGTTTGAAATAATTCCCATAAAATATTGTATTATACAAGTGTCAACACTAGCAACGAAAAATTTCATGTCGACCGTTTTTTTTATCTTTGATAACAGAACCTAAATCGAGGTAAGGATAGGCCTAGCCTAGCCATGTTGATAGGCTAATGACTCCGGCACCTACTATTACTCTCAAAATCAAACTTTCATTCATGCACGTTTATTTTTTGTGTGTAACACCAAAAAAAAATCAAATTTGAGTCTTATTTTGCATTTTTTTCATGTTTAGGAATGTCTAAATTCAGTTCAAGCAATTAAATAATTTTTATGCTCAAGTTAATAATTTGTATTTGTATTGAAAATGTTCTATTAAGGAATGTAACATAGAATCAATTATGACCTCGCGTCATTTTTTGGAGTCACCATACTCATATTTTTAAAGTTTGTGTGTTACTGCCAAATATGCAAGTTATTTTCGAAATTATTTTTTATGATTTTTTTTTTTTATTTCAAGTGACAATATATACTGTTCATGTGTACTTTAATAGTAATAAATAATATCCTAGATTTATAAGCCGGCTAATGTTGTAAAACCTTAAACATTGTACATACTGTAAACTAAAATTTAAAAGAAAACAAAAGGACCAATATTTCCTCTTCATTGTCTCTGTTGTCGTAATTTCTAAATAGCACTTTTCTTTTTAAACTGTAAGAGCAGTCTGTAGGATTCATTTCAAAAGTTTGTTTTTTTTTTTGCTATCATAGAGTATACTATAGTATATGCTATAGTTTGGAAGTCTCATATTTCCATGTGGAAATCCTTATTTACAGCAGTATATCTAGTAATTCATATTATTTACTATTCAGTTTACAGTTAAACTTGCCTAATTCGACTGTGCCTAAGTTGAATAATTTCAAAGTCGATCTTATTTTACATGCCAAATTGTGTTTTCCATTAATTAACAATCTGTAAGTCAAATTTTATTTAAGTTGAACAATATTTCAATGGCATTTTGGATTTGACTTAGGCAAGTTCAACTGTATATCATTATGTCTTATTTTTTATTGTAGAATCTACAAAGATAAACTAGTCTATATCATTATGTCTTATATATTACTGTAGAATCTACAAGGATAAACTAGCCTTGCTTAAGAAGCACTTTGCTCAAATAAATGACTGCACCCATCCAGAAATGAACAAAAAGCTGAAGAAGTTGGAACAATTGTACAAAGAGAGGCTTAGGTTTGCGGACAATATCAAGAACTATGAAGTGAGTTGCAAACTTATGTTAAGTATTCGAGGTATCTATAAAAACCCTTGATGTGTGAGTCACCAACTATCAGTCCAAGTTATCTTTTAGTGTGTAGTATTTATTTTATGCCATTTTATAAAATGCTCGTTACTGCTGTACTTGCTTTATTCCCAGATTGAGGCAGTAGAAAGGCAGTATATACGTGAGAAGAAACTATCAGCTAAAGAATTTGAGGTAATACTTAATAGAATATTGAAATGTAACATTAACCCAATTATGCTTAAATTATATTGACTGAGTAGAATTAAAAAGGAAATATTACCATCTATGATGGAAGACCAATTTTCTGGAGGAGGCATATTAATATGAAATAAGCTATAGAATTGCTCAGTGATTACTGTGCGTGTGCAATAGCTGCACGTATTACAATGATTTGTTAGAGTACGCGCACTGACATTCTTCGCACAGCTCTTTGCAGCTCTTCATGATACGAAAATGATCAATAAATTGATTGTGGTTAGTGAAGTGTAGTAATAGTTATTAGGTAAGCTTAATCTCCTGGTAGCCATTAGTTTAATAGATTAAAAAGTATTGTAAACATTTTAATGAATTATTGCCTTATTTTTCAGTTTTTTTTTATAAGTCAGTCACCTGGTTATCTCTTAACCATTATGCCTTTCTAGGCCTTGCTTAGGATGATAGGCTTCATTTGTGTTAACTAGCGCTGTAGAGCGAGACTTGTTAGGTTCGCTGTGTGCGTTCATATCTTGGCCTAGCAATGAAATATTCCCATCGCGATATACTGTAGTAAATCACCCCAGCTTTGAGATTTTTGCACGCAAGACGCAAAAAATTGGAGGCGCTATATAAAATTATTGATCAGTCGGCGATAGGAACATTCGGTGCAAATGATAGTGATGATGTCACCACTGACATAAAATAATATAGCTGCTATCGGGACACATATTGCTAGATTATTGTAGCTTAGCCAGAAATGTATGACTCCAGAGATGCTTAATATATCAGACCAACAAGCTTTTTCTTTGATGATTTTTCTACTTTATGAATGTAAATTGACTAAATAGTAAGAAATTATTGCATTCCATAACTCCAAACATGCTATGAAAAACAAAGGAATTGTTTTGAACACCCTATGGTAGCCATAATTGTCATGGTGATGCTGTCATTCAAATTATTTCCATTTTTCATATACAGTTGTAATTAGTGTAATATATTTTCATACTTATTGTTGACAATCTTAAATTTAAAAGTGTTGCTCTTTCTATTTTATAGATGCGCAAGATTGACCTAAAAGAAAACCTGTTGATGGACTTGGAGGATAAAAGAAGGATTGTTGACTTCGATAGGCAAGTAATGGAGCTGGGAGGAGGTGAGATATATATCAGCTGTTTAATATATTGCATATGCCTTGTATACTATATAGTAACTTTATATAGTGTAGGTTGAAAATAGCATGAGAATAGCATTAGCAGTTGTCTATTTCAGTCTATTTCATAATATTTATTTATATTTTATTGTGAAAGTTAAAAAGTGTATGGTACATGCATGGTTGCTTGTAACTGCAAGGAATAAGCGCTATAGAAGTAAGAAGTAAGAGTACCCCACCCCTTTTTCCTGAACAGAGGATGTTTAACATTGTATTTTGTATGCCATGACCAAGGGATAAAAATTGTTTTGTGGTCTATGGAAAAAGGCAAAATATAAATTAATATTATAACACTGAAAAATACTAACATTATTTTTCAGATTCCATGGAAGTAAAGACCATGATAACTCGCAAGTTGAGAAGACGACCCAACGACCCAACACCGCTACCTGAGAAGAGGCGTAAACAAACACCAGATATCCTTTACTAACCAACTGATAATTGTTTAAAGAATGTCACATATATATGTTATTTATGTACATCTTAGTTATATAACGTAATGTTGGTGATCATTGACACATGTACCTGAATATATGGTGTTTGAATTGCGCCCTCTCTAGCCTTAATCCCAATCTTGGCAAAATTGTATTTCTAATTAGTAAATTACTATCCTGTATTTAAAGAGACTACTTGGGTTGTAGCTGTAGAAAACTAAGGTGGGTGGTAGACATTTTAAGGGTGGTTAGGGGATAACATCGGTAAACTCTAAATAATAAGAGGGTAAGTGGGCAAGGGGTTAATAAAATTTGGGGGGTGGGAGGAGAGCCATGAAATTAGCTTAAGACTGGGTGGAAAAAACCCATTGTAGAACTGATTTTTCTAAGGTAGAAAAAAGTTGACGAAAAACTGGGAAAAAGTGAATGAGATACAGATATTTGAATATTTAGAAGCTGGGGTGAAAAGGTGTAAAAAAGGATGGTTATTCCCCCTTTTTCCACCAGTTTTTAAATATTCAAAAATCTGTATCTAATAAACCGTTCCCCAATTTTTCATCAACTTTTTTCTTTCAAACTGTTCTACAATATATCAAAAACTTGTTTTCTTTCCGGAGCCTGACTTTCAAGGCTTGATGGTCCCGCCCACCATTACTCCATCCCTAGTCTACAGTATTCAATATGGGATGGCAACAAATATGAGTATTGTAGTGGTATGCAAAGTGTCGACAGTGACCTTTATTATATTTTGCCTTCAAGACTTTTTTTACATCTTGTTTCGCAAATGAGGCATATTGTGGCAAAATGGCTTAGTTGTAACAAAAATTTTAATACAAATTATTGGTATTTTCAAATACCTGAGTATGTGATCTTTAAAATGAGGGGTCATTCATTCAAATTGGACATTTCAAGCCTAAGTTATTGGAAAGTGAAAGTACAGTACTCTTAGAGTCAAGATAAACATGATTTTGAGTAATTGCCTTTCAAAGTTATTTGTACATACATTGTTTAATAGAATGAACTATCAAAGGAACGTTAAATAAACAATTTGTTGACCATTTCCAGAACTAATACTTTGGGACATGATTAATAACACATTAAACTGTTGATCTATAGTGAAAAACAAATTGGGATTTTTAGGCAATTTTTTGAGCTCCCATATTTTATAGCTCATTTACTCAATACTGGACTGTGCGACAGCTTGACCATTTCGCCACGACATGCCTCAAATATCAGAGAAGAGCAGAACAAAATAAAAATATAATTTCTTATTAGGCAAATGGTTTTGCCAAAAACATACAAACGGAGAAGAAAATAAAAGGAAAATTTATTGTTGAATGTAAACAATGTAGTAATGGGATGGTTAAATGATTTAAATTTATATGATTAGGAAAAAATATATATATCTTATTTTTGGAGATTTCAAGACAGTGGTAGGGGTAATCAAAATAAAAGAAAACTTTTTTTCTGAAATTTCCATTTTTTGTGGCGGCGGGGTCTCTAATTGGCCAAAAAGAAATCATCATTATTGGTGGGTGGTGGGTTTGCTTAAACAATGTATAAAAAAAGTCTCGTCTGAGCAACAAAGCATGATACATAATTTTTCTCTTTTTTTTTTGCTAAAATACATAAGAAAATATTAATATTTTTTTTATAAATATGATTGTTCTGTGTATAACAGTAGTACTCCTTGACTTGTGAGTACCTCAGATTGATTTTCTATTGCACGAAGATGATATTGTAGATGATATCAAGATGATCAACAAATCATACGTAAGTGCTCCATTAAAAACATGACCAAGTCTCATTATGGGCAATGAGTGAAGTTATGGTCGTGAGAAAAAATCCTGTTGCCGTGACAAGATTTGATCCCTAGGATTGGAAGGCAAACATCTTAACCACCAAGTTATTCAACTTTACATATATTTAATCGTTAGTTGTAAATTGTAGGTACCTGGTGGGTTTGGAATTTTAGTGTACTGATTATTACTAGCTGCAACACTCCAACAAAGGGATGTTGAGTTTGCCATACAGGTAGGTGTTTAATCCAATGACCAGGGTATCAATGTGAAGTGCACATTGCCCTCTGGAAAACTGACACTACTATTGTATATTAAATGGCTCTGATTATATATATATATTTTTATATTCCTTCTGAAGGGGAAGATTATAAGCAGCAAAAAACCTGTATCAACATCAAGTTCAGACGGCATCTCAACTCCAAAGCATGACGTACGCATTGAAGATAGCAAGCTATTCTACGACAAGCGTTGGTTCCATCGCAATCAGTCTGTCTACATAGAGTCAAAGGATATGGGCAAGGTTGCAGCTGTCATCACCAGTATTGGCACCAATGAAGTAAGAAGTTAATTGTTTTATCCCTTAACTGCATTCGTCAGTCTGGCTCATCTCGCATTCATTCATATTACAGTAAAACGTCCATTTTATGAATAGTCGATTTTAATAATGGTCTTTCTCCCTGATGACATTATCATCAACCAGTTATTACCGTTAAAAAAATGCGATTGCGCACATTTTACAAAGTGATAATGTATATTTTTCTTAATAATTCTGGTATAATAATCACTATATTAATGTAATAAACCTAACCAGAACAAAGCGCACGTTTTCGATGAAAAGCAAGAGTGTTTGGGTCAGCAAATTGACATTGTGAATGCTAGATATGATCGCGAAATGCATGTAAACAACACAATTCGGCGATCTAACAACTAGAAAGAACACTTTAGAAAGGGCCATAAAACATAGAGATGCTTGAATAAGAGTTAAAATAATATTTTTTTTAAATGGAAGAATGCCAGCGATTAAAATAATTTGGTTTTTATCGAAGGTAAATTTGGCTAGGCTCTAGAGCGGTAGACGACGCTGCTGCTGCACTGTTGATTTGTGCTATGCCTGGTTGCCGTCAGCTTATCGGCGCTCAATGGCAGTGGGTAGCTAGGTATTGGAAACTGACACCCGATCAAGTTTATGAATTTTTCAATTTACAAACACCCCTTGGTACCAAGGGGTATGCAAAGTGGACGTTTTAACGTACATCCAATCATATCAGTCTGCTCATCTCATATCCAATCATATTGGTTTGTTCATCTCGCATCTATTATCTCACATCTTGCATAGTCTGCTCATCTCGTATCATATCGCAAAATCTGCTCATCTTACATCTATACAGATAGTACCTTTATTAATCATTAATTTGATGAAATTATATGTTGATTTCTTAGTTTGTAGTATTCATGTTTCTTTATTTCCATCCAGGTTTGGGTTCGCAAAACATCCGACAATCAGAAAATGCGTGTGTATGTAACACAGCTTCAGAAAGGCAAATACAAGATCCGTAAAAGATCCACATGACCAACCTCATCAATGTAAAGTGTAAATAGCCGTTTTAATCCGTTAAATTGACGAAGTAATGACTCTGAAAGATTTCATGACTTCGCTATCCTTTGTATTTTGCAACATTTAGACAAAATGTTAGAGACTTGCATTAAGGAAGGTCTGCTACATCACACCTGTGCGAGATTAGCATGTGTACTAGAGTGTCAACTGAAAAATCAGAACAGTCAGGAATATGCGCATGTACTACAAACACACGTTTTTGTTTTGTGGGTCAGGGATTAGCAAAAAGGTCCATTGTAGTGACTTTCCCCTGGGTTTAAATCATGACTAAAGTGATTTTGGTAAAAATACCTTGTAAAATCTTGGTGTAACAATATCCAGTGTAACATTTTGTCTTGTACGAATCGTTAATAGTCATCGTTGTATTGTCCTCATCAAACCTCGGTGTCTACGAATACAACTAACATTTGATGTTAATGTTTAATGAATTTTCGCGCTTTCTCAGTGCACCCAGTCTCTCAAATGATTGTCCTTTATTTTTAAACTTATTCTTGGATATTTAGGTAGGTAGCATTAGCTTTGATCTTTAAATTAGTAGTACTATGCACTAATTATGTTGCTGTAGTTGTGAGAAATGATCGATCGATTAGAAAAAAGTCTCAATTATAGTATTTCACAAGTTTTATTCAGCATTTTGTTCTGAGTAAAAAATATTCAAATTATATTTGCCAAGCCAGCACCACACTCATGATTTAAAAATTGCTACATTCCTATGAACTTGAGTGCTGGTTTAAACTAGTCACAGTATAGCCTTTGATAGTGATTGTGAGATGATATATTTGCACCAGAGCAATGCTGGTGAAGATTAAATATTGAATACTTGAAATACTGATGGCAGTATGACAGAAACATTAAATATTTATACTGTACTGTACTCTACTATCATCATGTTTTTTTTCACTGATTATTTCTTCGTGTGAATTTTATGGTTGAGTGAATGGTTAGAGCAATGGCAGCTAGTCTGGCAATATAGAAAAGTAACTAATGACTGTTGCGCCTCAACCTACAGCCATTAATCGGCGCTGGTTTGAACGGCACACTTGCTTATGGTTCTGGTGGTAGAACAAGTCTTCTCCGATAAGGACTATAAACCGTAGGCCCAGTGTACACTATAAAGAAACCCAGTACATCATTCGAGACAAGTGGCACCAGGTTACCGGGTAGCAAGACACGAAGGGACCCATAGGGGAGAAGAAAGTCAGTGATCGATCTAGACCATATATCCAAATGCTTTGCATCCATTGGATTTATAAGATTAACCATGTAATGTCCATGAGATGGATTTGACAACTTTCAGTCAGGTGTTTTGGTCAGACAACCATGTAGTGGTCAGAATAGCCAAACCTGTTTTTATATTGGGGAGTTCCAACATTTTTACAGCAGTGCAAATAGTAATAATCAAAACAAAAGAAAATTTGAAAATTTGAGTTTATTACAAGTAATAATGTCCCCTTATCTAATATAGAACATTGCCGCAACAAGGCCCCTATGTACTGAATATTGGAACACATGCTCAGCTCCCTTGGAAAGAATTTCATCCAAAGCTGGCAAAGGGGAGCCCCCTCCAGGCAGCAGCCAAAAAATAATTTAGATTAGCTATTAAAATGGCTAAAATTCTTCAAGGGACCCCGTTCCGCCACTGAGTAAGTTGCGGCACCAAGAAATTGGTGCTGGCATTTGGCATTGACGCATCAACTTGAATAGTGACATCGTTTGTTAAACACTGCCATCTTGATGTGTCTCGCAATAAACATGAAAACTACTGCATAAAAACGTTGATATTCATTCATCGCTAAGCTGTCGTCCATCACTTTACTATCACTCCTGCATTAACTGGTTTCCACTCTGAAGCAAAAGTAACCAAACTTATTCATATATTTGTATGGCTTTCTGCGGTCACGTCCCCTGAAAGTATACAAAAAATGAGAATTTAGTTTTATATTGTGTATTGTTTGGCTATGTAGATATTGTGGGTCACAGTAAGCTCTAACATAAAGTAAGGAACCTAAATGTTTGTAACCAGAGCATTTTGCTAAATGAGAAAACAATTTATTTTTACCTTGATAGTCTTGGAAACATTTTCTCCTTGGCAAATTCTACTGGTCCTTCCTTTCCTTTGACTGCTGATTCAGTCTCCAAGTATACATCCAGGCACATCAAAAGACGCTGCAGCTGATTGGATAGAATGAAGTTGTGTGACTTCTCTATACCAAGTTCTTTGTAGAAAACATTGACTTCACTTTCCATGTCCTGGAAAAAAAGAACAATTAAGCTTATTCGAGTGTTGGGGGTAAAATTTCAGGTTATGAGATAATACAATTAAAAAAAATCGAAATACAGTAGTTTGAAGACAACTTTTCATCCAAGGTAAAAAGTTTCTTTGGACATTCAATAAAATGGTCGAATGCATATTTTGGAGACCTCTATTCGCTTAATATAAACATAATGTAAAACACATCACTACAGCACAATGCTGTGCTCATGAGAGCAGCATAGCTCAGTCGGTGGAACTGGTGGTAGCCACCGTGGAGATTTCTTGGTCTCCAGTTCAATTCCCATAGCTGGTCTCCTATTTCAGCTAGAGGGCTGAAATGCAAGTTATGATTATGCACCGTCTTTCGCTGTTGGTCCTATGTGCATGTTAAAGAACGTATACACTCTTCGGAAAAGAGTAGGGGATTGTGTCCCGGTTTACTGCCCCATTACCTGCTGGAAATAAATCTTCTTCAGACTTTCGTGCGATATCCTTGGTGTACACACCAATTAATAATCTTCAACCTTTTAACACAAAGCTAGCCCTCTAACTCCGAGACCAACCCAAATTTAAGTCCCAAAGGTGGTCTCGAATTGGAGGGTGAACTGTATATATAAAAAAAAATATATAATATAGATAACTATATACATTTAGAGTAATAAAAATTACAATGAAGTAGAAATCTTGAAAAGCTTTTAATGTATATACAACAATAAAGAATGAATCTTGAAAATAATGCAAGAGTTAGCCTACCTTGATTGCATTGTTGTTCCCTGCACTCTGCTCCCCCTTCCAAGACAGCTTCAATATAAAGTAGGGTGTCTTTATCGGATAGTCTTGGTCTAGGATGACAGCTGCCTGCAGCCTAGCTGAGCCACGTTCTATCGTAGCCATGAAGAACACGTTGGATTCGGTCTGGAACTCCTTAAAATCCTGAGTGAATGGTAGAGTGCGAAAATCTTCGGTAGTAAGCGGCTTCCAGGAGACTAGCTTTGACGAAATCTTGGTTGGAAAGAGAGACTGGCAATCGCTGGGTACCGTGATGTTACGCCGCTCTAAAATAATTTTAAACATTTTAATGAAAATCCATCATGTGTTTGACTATTATTTGGAAATAACTTACAGTTTGTTACAGGATTGGATTTCTAAATTTCTATTAAGGTGGGCAACAAAATGACTTGCCTAATGCTGTAAGCTGTTTGTTCAAGGCCAGCCTAGCTGTAATCCTTCTCTTGAGGGCCGTGATTGTGGATTCAATGTAGCTAACACAAACAGATGAGGCTGGCTTCATCTCTCGCCGAACCCCTTCTTCTTCCAAGAAGTCAAGACCACATAGATGTTGCACCCACCTATACGGATGTCCGATCACACTGATGTATGAACTCAACGACTTTAGCCTGTAATAAATATACAAAAAGTATACAAAATCTGGTTTCATAAAAGACTGCATGCAGTGCACATCTGCTTAAAGCATTACAAAATGTTTTCTATCATCATGTGAAGACTTGTGTGTCAGGACCAAGGCGTGGCGTTGTGTTCTTCATAGAACGAACACATCAAGCCATTCAGTTAGAGCAAGTTTTAAAATTGTCACACAATAATACTATGCTAAAAATAGCTTACCTTGAATTAGCAGGTGTAATATTACACTTGAGGTCGATCAGTACAGTTGCAATTTGTAAAATGGATAAGTAACTGAAGGTAAGGGTCAATATAACATCATCTAATAAAAGAAGTATTATATAATCAATAATCATCACAATTCTTTTTGTATTATTAAATACACTCATTGGGATTCAGTTGAGTATAGTTCAGTTGTCTGGACTAGCAGTTTACTGGATTACCATTTACCTTTACATTTGATTGTCATGACAACAGCAAGTGGATGCTTCTTCAGTGTTTTTTGTCTCCTTTCTTCCATCTTGTTGCCAGCTGTTTTTCTCCTCCTCTTCTGTTGGTGAAAAAGAAAATCAAAAAAAGAAAAATTAAAAACTGTACGCAACAATTCTAACAATCTATGATTGAAAGAGGATAAGATGCTTACAAAAGGTTGGTAATCAAAAGCTTCAGACAATACCCTGTTATTGTCATATACCCCCTTATTTTCACACACCCCCTCCCACACTGTTGTATTTTGAAATAAATTATTGTTTTGTTCTTTTTCTTGTATTGGACTGCTGACTTGGTAATTTTGAAGTAAAGAGCTCACAAAACCCCAGGGATAGGCATGTGCATGCTAATGTTGATATGGTTGATTGATTATTACTTTTGGCAAACCTCTCTTCCTCCCCCGCCCCCAGACTTCTAATCTAGTATCCCAATAAATCACCTAAATAGTGGACACATGTTTTCATAATGCGCCGGTATCCACAAGGTGCGCTCACAGTACCAGAATCAAGCAAAACATAAGAAACAGAAAAGATATGAAAGAAAACAAAAACAAGAAAAAATTACTAGGAGAAAAGCTGATGTTTCTTTAATCTGGACTTGAACATGGTAATACTTTCTGCAGATTCGATTCGTGTGGGCAGTAAATACCAGACATTTGGAGCAGAGTGAAAAATGACTGATTTACCTATAGTTATCCTTGACATAGTGTTCTATTAGAATGAGGTAACAACCCTTTATGTGATTTTGTCAATTTTGTAAATTAATTCCTAAATTGATTTTTGAAAAATTACCGATTTGGAGGCTGCCTCCTCATTGTCCGAGTCACTATCGTAGTCTAATTCGGGAGTAGTGGTTTCTTGTGAAAGTGCTCCTTCTGTATCGCCCACAATCTTCAAAGATATTGATTCATCTGAAAAAAAAAAAGCTAATGATCATTATACAGTATATTTAATACACTATATTACTCAGAAAAAAAAAGGATAATACATACATCAACTTTTCTAGTAACTATTTATAAATCAATGATTTTCTTTTTCTAATTCAAACAATTTAATTCTTGTTTAATAAAATAGGAACTATGTCCATTTGTTTACATTTCTCAGCATGGATTCTTCTATGCCATTTTTGTTGACTGTGTATAAATTCTTTTTATATAGTTTCTTTTTATATAATTTAGTTCATTAGTTTCATCTAATGGTAACTAGCATCTATTCCTGCACATAGATAAAGTTCTGTTAAATGTGCCAATTGTAGACTTCTTACCGCATGCTTCATGATAAGCATTAGCCTGAACATAGAGAATATACAAAGGCCTTGGTAAGAGTTTGGCTATCCGATGTTGAGAACGAATGCATTCCAGAGGCATGGCCAGGTATTCTTGTACAGGTACTGTAGACTATAAAGCATAACTTCATTGTTATTAATAATGACAACAAACACAAAAATAATTAATAATAATAATAATAATAACAGTAACCATATCATTTCCTTATACACATTTATATCAATTGCTTTATTTATAAGGCACCGTTTTAACACTCATTGCTCCGACGGTCAATATCAACCCAAATGATGGATCTGGGCGAAGATTATTTTTATTGTTTTTTCGTATAATTTTTTTGGTTCAAACATGAGACTAAAATAAACTAAACGCCCATCAACATCAAGTTATTTCATTTATTTATGAGGGCCCCTAAATATCAGCCGACACTTAAAGGGTCACCCTCTATAAATATGGTTAAAAAAAAAACATCTTTCGATACTTCATCATCTAACATGTTTTATCACATCTTCACTGTGACCATAAACCTGACCTAAAAAAACAGATCACTCAAGAAATACAGCAAGTTTACTGTGAAGGTATTAGAGCTGAGCAGTTGGCTGAGAGGTAATGTAATTAATAGCCCTCACATTGAGAGTTAGGCAATATAAGGAACATGTATGTATCCGTACGTAAGTATCCGTTACATATTGTAGTTACTTTGGGGGGGGGGGCTGCACTGCAGCTGCCACAGGTTGCTAGCCCAGCCCACGTTTTCCAATTTCATGTTGGATAAGGATAAAATAAATTATAACATATTATTATTATATTATTCTATTATTATTATTATTATTATTATTATTATTATTATTATTATTATTATTATATTAATATTATTAAGCCAACATGAGTTCACCAATCCCATAGCATGACTGTGATTACAAACCTGTAAGATTGTATTAAGCATTGGCTGTAGACTGTCAAGGTACTCTTTTTTCTGCTCAATTTCTTTCACAATCACATTCTTTTTCTCCTGGAATTCCTTGTATTTCTCAGACAAACTAGAATGTAGGTAAATAAATGCACACAAACATCAATCTAATAAATATTATTTATCTATTTTTATTAGTAAGCTGAACCCAAAATTTGAAATCTTTATTAATTTATCCTCCATAATATAAAGTATTTATCAATTCTAATACTGAACTTTTCACATCGCATTCTTACGGCCACTATGATAGGACCTCAAGAGAGGACCCTAAAAGGTACCCTCTATGAAAAAAATATTGTAAAAAACATGTTTTTTGACAAATCAATTTTGGCAAAGTGAGAAAACAAAATTTCCTCTGATGAACTATAAAAAAAGTCAAGAAAGTATAGAAAATGTATTGCCTAAAGAATGTTGTTACCATACCTCTTTCTCTGCTCTAATTCCCAGTCTAATCGTGCTAGTCTTTGTTGATGGGAATCCGCTTTGGTAATACATGGCTTGGAGATATCTTCTGGAGCTTCCTGATAAAAATCATTCAAGTTCACTAGATCAATGTCTTCATCTGTAGATCTAAAGATGAATAAAAATGTGTCATTCATTCAAAAGAATAATATAATAAATTACAACAAAACACTTCCCATCTCAATTACAGTAAAGCTTTTATTTTTACCGTACTTCCTCAGGTACAATTTTTTGTACCAGCATTTCCTCAGGCAAAACCCCCAGGTATAATTTGAATAAGTAGCTTAGCTGACTTTTACAAGATACTGTTAGAAAAACATATCAAATATTGGCTTTGAATTAGGCATGCAGTGCTGAAAAATTGCTTTTAATTAAAAAGGGTGTACCCGTGTATAAGTCCCCCACCCCCCACCCACAAAAAAATTGGTCCAATTTTGTATTTAAGGGGGTAGGCTTATACCAGAGAAACTATGGTGACTGTCCTTTTAATATCAATGTCTTACTTGAATTCCAAACATTTAGTGACCTCCTTCTGGAGGTGCATGACCTCGTAGAGGAGGTTCTGAAGTTGAAGGTGAAAGCTATCAACTTTCTCTTTGGCTTCCTCGGTAGAATCTCTTGCCTTCTTGTTACGGATGTGTGCTAACCGATTTAGCTTCTTCAAGGCAATAAAATGTAAGACAGCCTCCATCCGTTTAGCTGTTATCTTTTCAGTTACCTGTTAAAAATGCAATAAAAAAAGTATTTTTAATGGTGTCTGTTCATGTAAAGAAAATTGTAAGAATGCAATCAAAACATTTAATTACTCATTTAAAAGCATAAAAGAGAATATCCAAATAGACATAGATTAAAACCAATCTGTTTTTTGGTTTTTTTTTTTGCTGATTAGAAGATCTTTTACTATAAACATCCTTAAATTAATTGCCAGACAGTGTAAGGGTCTATATCGAGAAAAAAAGATATCATGCATCTGATAATTGTAAGTATACTCCTTACATTTAGTATTTGTAATAAGAAATATACAGTAATTTAACAATTATTATTTCAACAGAATAACCTTTGCTTTAGACTGTTTCACCTGGATTTCTCTTACAAACAAAATATGTAATCATTTTAATTAATTAATCAATATCAATCAATAGTGACGGCATTTGTAGCGTTCAAATGGTAATTAAATTGACTATTTCTATGGTTTGGTTAAGATTTAAAGATAAAATGAGTGTTATAATTATTTCTTTTAGCAGAATTTTTAAAGATATTTACATCTGCAGCACTTCCAGTCTTCATTTCATATACGTCCTTCATAATGTTGCGTAGATCTTGGCAAGTGGACTTGAAAAATTCCAAATCTTTCTGAGAATCACGCAGTTCTACCTCCATTTCTTCACTATGTACCTGAGATTGGGTGGAAGAATAATGACTTTGAACAAATAGGCCTACAGGTTAGTTAGAGCAGTCTAGGCTACTCCAAAACTTCTTATTTATTCAGAAACCCCCCTCTCCCGTCGGCCACCAAATCTTAGCCATACCATACTGTAAAGTTTTCTAATTGCGCAGAGGATACCTAAAAAATCGGCCCAAATTTTTGCGGAAAATCCCTAGAAAATAGGTGTGCAGAATCGTAATTGCTGCATAATTGCATTGTATATTAAGATTTGGTCAAAACCTAATTTTCATCAAAAAATCTGCGCAGGAATATTCCCTTATTTTCCAAAATAGGCCTAGGCCTAGGCCTATATAGGCCTACCTACACTGACGGATTTCTAGTGAAGGTAGGCCTAGGCCCTAGGCCAAATTTCTGTGCGGACAGAGTATACTCCTCGTGCAGGCATTACACTACAGTCTGGAATTTTTGCAGGCCTTAGCTTATACAGGCCTGTCACCTAGACTAGGCTAATCCCTGCGTCTCCACCCCCCACGACCAACTACTAGCCAAGGCCTCACACTTGCCTACGCCGCCTTGCCAAGCTAGGCCTAGCCTAGTCTTCCTCTCACTCAGTCTGATAGATAGATTTATTAGTACATACAGACAGGCCTACCTAGCTTAGCCTAGCCTAGGCCCTACCTGTTGTTGGTTTTGACTATGGTCACTTGATCGTTTAATCTTCTTGGATTCCTTCGAAGAACCAGAAATGACAACAGATCGAGTACTTCCATTGCTTGACTCTACAATTCTTCTTTTTTTCTTTTCTGAAGACATGATTATTATGAAAAAACAACAGCAAACGAACAGATAACGAAAAGATAAAAACACCACAATGATGGCGCGCCGAGAGCGGCAGAATGAAAGGGCACCTCTCTGCGGTACATAATACCTATTATAGATATGGGCAACCATTAGGGCCAAATAAACCAACTTTGCCATAAGGACAAATCCATCGGACGCAAACCTAAAAAATCGTGTTTTTTTTTTCATTTTTTGTTTCTTTGACATTATTATTTTTCAAAATTATAAAGAAAATAATAGATATTTTTTTTTTTAATTCAAATTTAAGTTTGAGAGTATTGCACATCATTTCCAGCCACCGTACCTAGAGGTGACACAATCATAAATTTTCTTACTTCAGCCCCAACCATAGTGGCTGGCCTGAGGTGGTTTATAGCCTTCAATTTTTGAAAATCCCTCTCCCGGCAATGGGCCCATCTATTTCGAATTAGTAGATCCACCACTACAACGAAGTGCGTAAAATTAAACTTTCCTTTTCACTAAACTAAGGGTGCGACACAAACTGTATGTGTGTAAATAACCTGTGCTATGTTGTTTATTGTTTATATTTTCACCTACAGACTAGACACAAACTGTTCATGCTAATAAGGCCTTAAAAAATTAATTGTTTGTTTGCCCCTTCTTTTTTTTAAATTGATAAAAAGGGGCGGGTGGAAGAAGTTTTTTTTTTCTCATCAGATGGAATAAAAATAACCGACAGAGAATGGCAATATTATCTTACATTAGACAACAACTTTAGACAACAAATGTGTAGGGCATCTGGCAAAATATGAAGATAAATTCACTCACATTTTTATTTGTAAAGAAAAAAGCTAAAACAAAAAAATCTTTTTAAAGTTTTTTTTTTTTGTTTTTCCGCACCTACTTTTTTCAGTGAGTTAGGGGCGGGTGGAGGAGGGCAAACAAACAAATTTTTTGGCCTCTAACCAGGTTATTAATTAAGTTAACAAAAAAATAAATAAATTGAACGTTCAAAATGATTTAGCTAAATATATATATAAAAAAATATTTAAAATTTCGATACCTTGATAGTCAGATTTACGTGTCACTTCAAACGCGTTTTTCTCAAACGTTGTTTTGATCGAAAATGAGGTGTGTATCTTTCTTCGTGTTGTGTGGTAAAAATACTGCGCGCATAAAAAGTCTATCTATGTAATGATGGCAGTTGTCTATTTTGGCCCTACTGGCCATCCAGACCTACACACTCGTCTCTCGAGTGTGTAGGTCTGATATCTGATATCTTAGCTATATAGATGAGTGCTCTCACCACCACTATAGTATGAATGATGATGACGATAATGACGATAATGATGATGATGTATGATGATATGATGGTGATATATTTATAATTGTTATTGGCTTTTCAAGTTTGAATTCAAATTTGAAATAATCAGGAAGTTGTAATAGTGTTGTCACGATAATTACTCCCTGTTATAATGTGCGCATATATAAATAATTTCTTATACAAGTACATGTATTGTGCACTTTTTATGCATTTTTTATTTGTATTTCTCTTTACCTTGGTGGGGATATTTTTTGCAATGTTGGACACTCTACAAACTTTTATATATAAATTGAAACTACATTTTATCGCAGTCAACAATTAATATCTTTATAGGCCTTTTTTAAAATAAATAAATAAATCTAAATATATTTTAGTACCTAGTTTTATTTGTCTATTTAATTTAATTTTCAGTAAATTATTCCTTCCCACTTTCACTTTAATAATGTGTTTTGTTGGAACTTGTTTCTGGATTCAGTTCAGAGACGATCCTTTGAAACCATTTTTTTTTTTAAATTGTAGATTAACTTCTGTAGATATACAGGACTTTTTTTAATTCCTTCCTTTTTTATTTCTCAAATTTCCTGTTGTTTACTAATCCTTTGTATTTTTCTTTCCTGATTTGTCTTTTGTATTGGTAGTTTAAGTAGTTTATTTGATTTCTCAATTAGTTTTTTCTTTTAGCCAATTTAAATTTTATGTTTATACTATCTGTTATATTTCCAAAGACTGGGTTGGTAGGCTTTTGAGCTTGAGTGTTCATCACTATTATCAATCCTAGCCAACTTAGGTAATATTGTAAAATTTGTTGCTTGTCCAATTTTCATTGTTTTTGTAAAGTATATTTTTGGCTGAATAAGAATAAATGAATGAATAAATTGAAATTGAATTGAAATTGAATTATATAAAATTTAGTTAAATAATAGTTTTTTTAACATACCTGTAACTTCAAAGCAAGTACAGTATCCGTATTGCATTGATCTGAGGAGGTTGGAGAATCACTTGATAGTTAATACGGTTCCGATTTGACAATCCCGTGTACCTCTTAAAGTTTTTGTTTGTGTAATAGACGAAATAAATGAATGAATGAAATAAAATCAATACTGCCCTCACAAGGTGGTTGAGAATCACAACAGACCACACGAAGACAAGAATCCCGTCAGAAAACTTTTGGTATTTTGCATTTTGTTATGTCTTTTTACATTGAAAAGCTGTAGGGCCCTAATGCTATCTAAATCACCCTGGACATTCGAATAAAGGAGAAACTTCAAAGCCTTTTCGATCCAGTTTGTCTTAGTACTGAATTTTGGTTATTTAAATTGTAGCTGGGCCTGCCGATGTAGGCTAGGGCCGGGCCTTGTGTTGTTTTGTTTGTAGGCTAGTTTTCTGTCCTGCTGTATGTAGTCCTACCTCTGCATAGTAAAGGAAGGTGCGAGCTTTTATTTTTGGACCAGGCCGGGAGTAAGGGAAGGCACGTTTCAAGATTTATTCAAGAATGGCACCAATCTTTCAAACTTCTAAAGAGCAAGAGATAGAGAAGAAATTGTCGAAATTGTACAACAAATGCAGGGAACAAGGACTCTCAGATGAAGAGATCTTGGACGTTTCAGCACCGCTACTCAAATTCATTAAAACATCAGAGCAAAAACAAACCAGAAAAAAGCAAACACGGTTTTTGCTTTGTATTGCATTTGTTATTGGCACCATAGCAATAATCTATCAATATGATCCTGCTTACAGAATGCTCTGTGTTGTTGGACGACTCTTTTCAATACAGGTAAGAAGAGCTAACTAAGACCACAAGAATGAAATTTATAGGATTTCAGTTACAGGATTATAAAAAGTAAATTTATAATAAAATAAACTGAAGTTTATATACAGTATATAATTATTGATAAATAAAACAATTCAGCACTTCACTTGCAACTTGCAGTTAAGTCGGGTACTAAAGGCTATTCACACACATTCAATATGCTAAAGTTTGAGCCGCAGAATAAAAGACATTTTTTTATTAATTATACGTTTATATTTAAAATTGGTTAATTTTTGCTCTATTTTTTTACATTTTCGATGTTTGCATATTTTTTTTGTCGTATGACATCATTAAGCTTGGCTGTGACAGTGTGCGGACATGTTTTTATTGAGCTCCTCAGTTTTGCTGTTTTAATTCCGTGTCGTGATATGTTCTCAATCAAGTTTTGATGTTTGAATTTGATCTCTGGTTTCCTGGTTTTTCCTGTGAATCGTTTTTATTCTTTCTTATTATTATTGAGGCCCTGTTTCATTAGTTTTTTCCTGTTTCTTGTGGATGTTGCTGCGACTTTGAAGCCAACGGAATTCCAGGTATTTGTATTTTGCATTTCGCGCCATACAAGCCGGTACAGGCTAGGAGTGGAGCTGTAGCTTTCATCGAGCTTCGTTTCTTTGTCTTTTACGTTCCTGCCCTTTGATGTTAATCTGATTTAACTTTGATGTTCGTGATCTGGTATGTACTTTTTCTTGTATCCGTGAAATAAATTTTTGGTGTGTTTTAAGCAACTGTTGACTGATTCGTGAATCTGTCTTTCCTGATTTTTTTTTATGATTGCGACATCTTTGTTAGCTGAACTGATTTGAATTACGTGCCATACTAGTGATAGCCTTTTTGTATACCAGGATGGCAATTGGTTTGTTACGTTTTTGTTACTGAAAGCTTCATTTATTGAAGATGAGGACACCACACCGGACTTTGATGTAATGAATTACATTGTAAATTGCAGACCAAGCAAGTCATTTAAACAAGGACAAGCAAAGCTTTATTGTTTATTTGTATCGCAACGCCTACAAGACAACAAATATTTAAAAAAAACAAAAATGCTTCACTCCCAAATCTCAAGCCGATTCTTTAATTTTAATTATTGGGCTCATACTTTCAGGAGATATTCATCCCTGCCCTGGACCTGTCTCTTATACACATCTAGATGTGTATAAGAGACAGAGTTTAAGTAGTTTATTTGATTTCTCAATTAGTTTTTTCTTTTAGCCAATTTAAATTTTATGTTTATACTATCTGTTATATTTCCAAAGACTGGGTTGGTAGGCTTTTGAACTTGAGTGTTCATCACTATTATCAATCCTAGCCAACTTAGGTAATATTGTTAATACTAGATTTTCGACTTCTAGAATGACAATTTATAAACAAAAATCTGGTACACATAGTAGACTCTCATTCATCGATACCGCAATCGATGAATGGAATAAATTACCTTATAATGTTCAAAATTCACAATCCATATACACTTTTAAAAAACTCATAAAAAGCCATTATTTATCTGAACTTTATTATACATAGCTTTATTTATATGATGTCTTTTTTTGATTATTGACTTTGTTGTTTTGATTATGTATTATTCTGTAATTTAAGTATTCTCATTTAGGGACCACAGTGGAAATAAGTTGCTTTTTTGTACTTTTCTGTGTTTTTATCCTTGAATATATTTTACTTATAATTACTTCAGAATGAATAAATAAAAAAAAAAGTATGCATTGGAATGGTTACACATTAAATATGCTAAAGTTTGAGCAGAATAATTTTTTTATGTTATTTTAAAAATTGGTTACTTTTTGCTCTATTTTTTTACATTTTCAATGTTTGCATTTTTTTTGTATCTGTATGCATTGGAATGGTTACACTCAGAATTTCCTTTTTTTGACAATTTAAATACTGTAATCTTGAATCTTGAATCTTTTGTTGCTTATGATTAGAGATCTTGACAAACTTTACATTAAGTCTATCTAATTTAATTTTTTACAGACTTTAGCTTTCTATGATTGGACGGACATATATTTTTTAGACTGTGCACTAATTAATCCCTATTATGTCAAAGATGGACTCACTGCCGAAGATTGTGAGGTAAGTAACCATCATTCAAACAAATGTTTTGCATTTTTCAGTAAACTATAATAAGTGCATGTATTCAAAATTCAAGTCTTTGTTATTTGTAACAGATACTGTATATGTTGTTATTTTCGCGTACAGAATTTTTCGCGATTTCCAACTTTCTTGACATTTTCGCGTGTTGGTATTTTCGCGGACGCCATTTTAACAAAATGTTACATTTGAGGCCTAATGTACTGTACTGTAGTGTAGCTACTATCACGATCTTTTTTGTTGTACGGAAGGCTTAAAAACGATGCGTAGGCTGCCTTTTTTAAGTTGGCAAAGTCTAGGCACAGTACTAGTAGTAGTAGGGCATAGTAGTACTGTCTCTAGTAGGGCTTAGTAGTTATTTTTGTAGGCCTACAGGTACTGTACAGTCGGTAAAGGAATTGTTTTTTCCAGGTCTCAAACTACGCCGGCGCTGAACGTGCTAAATGCGGCGCGGCGTAATTCATCACGCGCTATTCCAACTAGATTTCCGACCTATAACAGGGTTTCCCCTTTCATTCGGTTTGTTGTTTACTGTACTTCCTGTAATTTGAAATTTGTGGTCATTTTCGCAAGTGGTGAAATTCGCGGTAAGCGCTACATTTGCGAAATTCGCGAAAATTAAACCCTCACATAAATAACAACTTATACAGTAATTTGTAGTGTACTATAAAAGTGTCCTTCATTGAAACCTTTTAGTTATTTTACAATATTTATTTTCATGAATTGACATTAAGTACATTAACCGATCCAGATATGTTGACTGTGTCTATGTTCTCCATGTGTAGATGTGCCAAGATTTGGATTTTATTGAAGATGTAGACAATCTTGATCCTAAAGATATGACAGAATATTTATTTGACCACGTTCCAGTAGTCGTGACAGATGCCATACATGAGTGGAGGGCTAGCAAAGAGTTCAATTTAGAGTTTATTAAAAAGGTAACTTAAAATGTTTTTTTTTCATATTACGTTGTATGTGATGCTTTAGTGTATGCACCACAAACGTAGGTATGTAACTTAAGCTAGATTATATGAATATAACAATTGTTATATCTGTTAAATTTCTACTGTTAATGTTTGCAAAAAACATTATAACCATATTTAATGAGATGAGCTCTCTATTAGTAAAAAACTGGTATTAGGGGTGCTCTTTTCTTAACCTAAAGCTGCCCTCCTGTAGCTACCATATCAATGTATCTGGTTAGCCATCATGTCTCCTACCAATAAATGACATGATTTTACTAAATTTTCCTTGAGGACAATTGGAATGCACATGTATATCTTGTATACTTTATTCTTTGTTGAAGTTATATAAAGAAGAAGATGTTCTAGCAATGTCAACTGTTTGTTCCTTAGTCAGCGAATCAGAAGAGGATTTCCATTCGTTAATAGAAGGGCTAGGGGGCACAATTCCAACCTGGAACCTCCGATGGTAAGTACGTTTCTAGGCTGGTCTAAACCACTAACCTATTCAACTCCACTCCACTCTTTAACATTGCTAACGTTATATCCAATATGGTGATATATTTCATTTGTTTTTCCATTATGTGAAGTGCCGAGGGCACTACAAGCAAAATTCCTGTAACACATGTATGTACTAAATTTCCCATTAAAATTCAAATAGATAAATGGCAAGGCAACACATGTAATAGGCTACACTTTTAATGTCATCATCCTGCATTTCAAATTCAATCCAGTAATTTCAGGACTTTTTTGCTTAGAAACCTCATTAACTGTATTACAATTTCCATTGCCTAAGGAAAAATCGGATTCTGAAATTTATCATTTTGTGCGATGTGCAGCAACAGCTAAATATATCACTTTATTCATTTAAAAATAATGTACTGTCTGCCAAAATATATTGGGAAAACCTCAAAAATTTCAATTAAAATGCTGAATAGCTCCTTAAAAATAATCAAGTAAGCTATTAACTTCCAACCAGAAACAGATCATGAAAGTTAATTTTTGCTGATTTACAGATCCAGTGCTGTTTTAATCTAATCCGAAAATGGATTCCACACTTGATTAGTGATTTTTTTTTCCTGCTGCTGGAGAGCGTGGCCTTTTCGGCACTCTGCTGGACCCGTCACTCAGTTTATTCGTCACTCAGTTTTCTTTACACTTTGTACTGTAACTTTCTTTGCATCGTGAATAGTAGACTTGCCACAAGTCTCTCATTTATTGGTTTTTCCTGTGTTAGAAACTTTCGAAGAGCGTCATCAGCGTCTGGTTATATCGCAAAAATTTTTATGTTGTTGAATTTGGATCAACTGATTAACACATTCGCTCCCAGGGATGTGAGTTCACGCCTGAAAGGGTTCAGTCATGTTGCCAGGACGCAAGTTCATGTCCACACCTGTGTAGACATTATCGTATTGCACATAAACTCGCTGGGAGTGGTTCCAGAATGTGAACTTTCACCCTGGAGGTTCAGGGTAGAACCCAGAAGTAACGATCTAAAATTATCTGTATGTTTGTGTTTCATTATATTTGATGGGAATCAAAGATCTTATAATTGCAAGATAGCATTCTCCGCGATTTCTGCATGCAAATTCTGTAACGCAGTGTAGGGCGCCCTCATGCGAAAATGATTACTTTTCAATTTTGACATCAAAGGTCGTTAACTAAACATACTGTAGCACATCTGTGTTCAAATTCTATAACAACCATGGTAACAACTAGGATGCCCACTCTCAAAAATGATTACATTTTATGCTTCTTTTTACTGAGCATCGACGCTTCTATTTATCACGCTTAAATTGTGGAGAACGTTATCTTGTTGTTATAAGAGCTTTGATAGCAATGATTTTCATTACGGTAGTGCCCTTTATGCCTTGCCATATGGGATGAATTTGGAAAAAAGGCTTTTGGCGGTCAACATTTTATTGCTAATTTTTTCAATTTTTTTTTTTTTTTGTGTAATAGGAGCAATTGTGAAGTCCAAGCAAATAAAGTCTTGCGTCGTTACTTCCACCGTCCCTATTTCCTACCGGACATGGTGGAAGTGTTAGGATCCTGGGTATTCATGGCCTCTGGAACCAGGCGGGACCCAGAGAGGGCCAAGAAGGAGCAGATACATGAAAAGAAAGGGGAAAAACGATATTTTAGCACCACTGGATGGAAAGTGAGTAAATTTGAATATTAATGCTATAATTTAGTTTATAGATAAAATAAATTGTTTAAAGATTTAGACTTTAATTCCGTTGCAATTGTGCTGATTTTTTTTTTATCTTAAAGGAGAAGTTCACCAATTTTAACATACTCAGTTACATAATATCCCATTTTTGAAATTACAAATCTTGAAAGCGTTCGTTACGTAGACGCTCTCTACTAGATTTGTGATGATGTTGCAGATGCATCATTCATCCAGTTTTAGCAACAGGCCATTGTAATGCGCCTGTTTAGGATGATCCCTAGATGAGTTGTTCATATTATTACTATCCTTGTATTCATTATAAACTAATATTGAATGGCTTAGGTAGAGGAGGAAGACAAAAAAGTATTGTAAACCTAAATTAAAAAGGCATTAAACATGGAAAGTGAAGAAAAAGCTAGAAAAATACAAGCCTACTGTAGGCCACCTACATAATGGCTATGTATAGTTTAGCCAGTAGTACAGTACTGTAGATTACAATGGCCTGTCGCTAAACCAGGATGGAGCGGTGCACATGCTATGTCATCCAAAATCTACTTGAGAACAAGATTTGTAATTTCAAAAATGGGATATTATTAAACTCAGTATGCTAAATCATAAAATTGTATAAAATTCTCCTTTAAGACCTTCTCCTTTAAGACCTGAAGATGCCAAATGATTTTACCTTGTAGATTGCTTTGGATTATTGATGTGGAAATTGACAAGCATACAGTTAGATGTATAGTTTGATTATGTGTACTTAATGCAGAGATAATTGTGGAACTAATTACTGTGACAATTTGTTATAGTGTAGTGTTTCATAAAGATGCTGAAAATGGGACATGGAAAATTGAGATGTTAAAAATATGTCTTGGAACAAAGCCAGGAGAAATCGGATTAGGAATCCATTAGTACTAAAAACACATATTGACTGAGTGAATGTCTAAAGATTTCTTTCCTTATTTTTCTTCTTTTTTGTTTTTATTTCCTTCACATTCAGCAGCAAGTAAACTCCTAATGATGTTTTATAAACCGAGTCTCTTTTGAGGCCTAGAAAGTGGAGTTGTTTAGTCATAAGAAAAAGTCCTACTATGACAGAAATTGAAACCAGAACCCTGGAATTAGAATAATATTAATAATAATAATGTTTGATGTAGAGCGCATATTGTGGAGACCTCTGGGAAATTAACAGTATTACCCCTAGTCATTGGATCAAGCATATATGGAACACATACTCAGCTCCCTGGGGAGAATTCCATAAGGCAAGCATCTTCTTAACCACTAAGCTATTCAACTCCACTTCTCATTATTAAATTGTTCTCAAATTAAACAGGGTATATTGAAGGATCAACTGTTCTTTGTGAAATTGAATTAAGATTGTTATCATCAGTTGAGTGAAAGAAAATTATTATTTAATATCTGCTTTATTGAATTGTTCTTTAATTTGACTGAGTTTGTACTACAGTATTTTATAACCTGAGATTTAAATTAGTTACAGAGTACTTCGTATTAAACACATGATTTCACATCATTGCTAATAATTAATGAGTTTATTATTGACCTGATCACAAGCTAAGTCCATTTCTGGCACAAATAATGTCATTCTAAAGAGCAAGGAAGTTTGTGTATTCATCCAAAATAAGATAAATCTTTTTTTTTTTTTTTCTATTTTGAATGATGATCTTTCTGAAACTTTAAAGCAAGGGTATTATTTAATTCATTCAATTGGAGAGCATATTAACAAACTATGCCAATCATGTTAAAGGTAATATCTTTACACTCAGGAGGTCAGTGCAAAAGCGAATGTGGTTCAAATAAATGTCATTGGCCTCTGTCAATGCGCATATGGGGCCCATTACCGAGAAAAGGCAATTGATGATGATAATAATAGTTGATGCATTTTCTACCATCAAATCAAGACAAACAAGGCTTTATTATTCTGTATAGCAAATCACAGATAATGGTTAATAGATTAATATGATAATTAATAACAATATCATTATGCAAGCTTTACTATTACACTGGCAGCCAGAAAATTGAGAAAAATTTATAATCACAAAGCTTATCAACTAAGACACAATTAAAAAAATAAGTTTATTTATGTGATGATATACTGCAATCTTTTTTTTATAATTTGCAAGCGGAAATGTACGTGATGTAGTGTAGTTCAATTTATATAGTGCTTTACACCAAAGTCTCAAAGTGCTTGAGGTGTGGATTAGCTTATACGATAACTTGCTCAGAGAAGGGTCTCTATCGGGTAAACCGGTACAGATATCACTCTTCTGTCCTCAACAGGGGCTGTATGAATCAATTCACTGGGGTAACCCCCTACTTATCTCAGAAGATGACAGTACTTGGTTCTTTAAAGTGCATGCGAGTCAAATTGTGTACACTGGGCCTATGGTTTATTATAGTCTTCATCCGAGAAGACTTGATCCACCACCAGAACCATAGGAAAGCGCCGATATTATGGTTGTACGTTGTGGCGCCCCTGCCTTAAGCACTCGGCCATTCAACTCACCATCTTTGGGATGGTCTCAAAGAATTTCCTCTCAGAACAGATCATTTTTTTGATGTAGGAATGGTTATTTGACATCCATTAATTGGCCTCGTTTTATATTTTGTGTTAAAAGACTAACATTATTATTATTATTTAAATAATCAATTTTGTAATATTTTATTAATCAAAAAGTCAAGCAATTCATTATCATTTTCGGAATTTTCAAGTTTATGTGGCAGCATTTCCTGAACACCAAATATAACTTGTATTTTAACTTGACTGAAATTTCATTTGCAAGGGTCGAAGTCTTGGATGTTGTGGGAGCCTCCCGGAAATCAAGAGAGTCTCCTACACTTCAGCATGCAAGCATATCCAACTAATTAATAATGGTTTTACATGCTTTTACTATTGTATTGTCATTTGTCACCCCTCCACCTGCACCATGCGTGTCATCACACATGGCAGAATACAGATTTAGATGTGTTGAGAAACCTCATTAAACCAGATCTCTGGAAGTGGCTTCTCCCAACTTAGGCCAGCAGATTAGAGGCTATTTTGGGGTGCAGGTGGCAATGGAAGTACTACCGGCTAATTTTGATATTTTCTGAAAATATAGGTCTTGAGAAGTTCAGAACTCAAAATTACCCAAAATCCCTTTGGGGGAACAACTCCAAATTACGCATTCAAAATGGCC